TGCTGCTGCTGCTGCTGATGCTGCTGCTGCTGCTGCTGCTGCTGCTGCTGCTGGTGTTGTTGTTGTTGTTGTTGTTGTTGTTGTTGTTGTTGTTGTTGTTGTTGTTGTTGTTGTTGTTGTTGTTGTTGTTGTTGTTGTTGTTGTTGTTGTTGTTGTTGTTGTTGTTGTTGTTGTTGTTGTTGTGTCCTTTGCTGCTTGCAGGTTCGGGATGTGCCACGCCTACGCACCGCCATTGAGGGGGCCCTCAAGGCAGCTCAAAGCCGGGGCAAGGCGGTCGCGGCCGAGCTGTGTCGGTAGCTGTACGACAGGTCCACTTAGAAGAGGATGTCGTGAAGCGAGCTCGCACAGCTCTCCGAGCCTTGCAGGCCACGATGCAGCCGCAGTTGAAGATATTTTCATATATTTTCAGTGTTTTGTGCTTCTGAGTTTGCTGCATCCACAATAGCGCAGTAGCAGCGCGCGTCGTGGTCTGCAGGCCAGGGAATCTGCCCGAAAAGAGCTCCGGCGGGCTGCTGAAGCTAAGGCGAGAGTCTCCGAGGTTCAGGAATGTTCCTTGGAAGGTTGGAAGGCTGGAGGGTGTCAGAGCATGAAGGTCTTTTGGGAAGGGAAACTGCAGTTGGATCTGGAGCAGATCACATTCTTCGCTGGAGTTCTTTACCGCACCGGAACAGGACATGCCTCGTCTGAAAACAGCCATTGCGGCTGCTGAGAAAAGCTTCCAGGAGAAGGTGGGAGCCCGACTTTTCGCTTCACGTTCTTGCGTTCGGGAGTGATGCCGCTGTGCGTTGAAAGCGTCCTTCGCGTGACAAGGCACCCGACATGTGCGGGGACGACCCCACGGAGAAACAAGAGCCGCAGACTCATGCGGAAGCCAATGCAAGCCGCAAGCCTGCCTTGGAAGACGGTTCCGCTTACTTCAGTTCCCATTGCATGTACAGAAGGGTTGCCTTCAGCTATATAGGCTGGACGCAGCTCGAGCGGCTCTGCGTGCCCATGCGGTAAGCAGGCATTGCACACGGTTGCATGTAGCCGACAAAAGAGTGGGCCTCTCATGGTTCCTCAGTGACGCTTTCTGGGCGCAGGCTCTCAAGACTAGCGGATGCAGAAGACATCGAAAGCCTGGCCAAAGGTCTTCAGGTGCCTGCGCTCGCATCGCTCGCCTTGGCCATCTGCACCTGCGTAGCATCATCACATCCTGAAGGAGCTTTCGGGACACGGAGTCCCAGCAGAGGACTGGCAGCAGTTCGAACAAAGGCGCGTTTCTTGCGGGTTTTCATGTATATATATATATATGTAGATACACATGTATCATGTATATCTAGATGTGTTTTCACGTGTTGGTGATCGTTTACGTTGATTCTCTTGGCCTTGCAACCAAGGCACTCCCAGCTCAAGACACGCCAGCGATGCCAGGAGAAATTGGCACAGGCCACGAAGGCCACGCAGCGGGGACAGGTATTCCAGGTAAGACTCGGCAACCATTGAATATATACATATATATATATATACAGGTATATATATATGTATATATATATATGTATATATATGTATATATGGAATCTCACCTGCAAGAAAGCATAAGAAAACTTCGTGCATGGCCCATTGGCAGGCTCGAGACAAGGAGGCGATCTTAGCTGCCATGGAGGATGCCAAGGACATCCGCAAGTGACTTCGAGCCTGGCAGCGCTTGAGTGGACATGTTCGGAGGTTGTTCTGGAGCAGAACTCTGAAGTTATAGAGATCGCTCAGAAGACGGTGTTCATGCTCGAGGAATGGCCATCATTCTGCAGTCGTTCAAGCCATGACTTCCAGCGCAAAATCGAAAGGCTGAGGAGACAATGGTGAAGACGCGTGCAGAGGTGGCAGAGGACAGCATGCCACGTTGCTCGCTTCTGCGAATTTCTGCGATCTCTTGACGTCCATGCGGCCCAAGGAGCTGGCTCGTGCTGTGCACGGCGAGGCACTTTTCAAGATCAGCTTAAGAACGTCCGATTTTAACCCGCGTGCTGAAGCACAGAGCACAGGATCAGCGGCGATTGCTGGCAGCTCTTACGGCTGCCGATGCGGCGGGTTTCACAAGTTCTGAGGCGACGGGTATCAAGTGGTAACACGATGGTGTGTGAAACTCCAGACCAGGTTGCATTTGCACGGGAGCGCTTGCGGCGACTGCGAGCTCGAGTTGGCCGGGAACCCTCTCTCGGTTTCATGCGCTTTTCCGGATCAGAGGATGGCATCTCGAAATCGGAGACACTGGGAGGTGCCGCACAAGAGCTGCGGGAAGCTGCACATTCAGCAGACATGTACAGGCCCGACTCTCACAGCTTTGAGTCAGCTGATGGTTTGTGGTTTGTTGCTTTGCAGTGACCTTGCAGCTTCGAACTTGCTGCAACCTTGGCTCAGACGCTGGGGTGTGAGGTTCAGGTTCTTGCCAGGGGAGAACAAGTTTCAAGTGCTCATCTATCTGAAGGTCAGTGAAAAGGGACCGTATTGGGCCCCCCTACGTACCTGCACAAGACGTAGACGACAAGTGTCCGGAAAACGTGCAATGCGGAGGGATGCGAGCGGCCAGCTCACCAGGACCGAGGTTTGACACAGCAGCTGTTCGGAGACGAGACATGACGAGAGCATTTGAGACTTTTTTTGGACCTGCTGTACTTGTAACGTCAGACCAACATCCACTCTGAACGGGCATTTGGGCGCAGGATGCGTGCTTGCCTTCAAGCTTATGGTTCTCTTGCAGCTACAGGCTCTGCCGGCTCAGGACTCCGTCGAAACCACACGACGCGCCGCAGTTCAGTCTAGCCAATGAGTTCACTTCGCCCTTGCAGCACAGACAGACAGACAGACAGCATCTCTGAAAGTCGCTCCTGTAGGACAACCGGCAAGTCGAGTGGTATGGAAAGCGGGGCGCACCATCCCAGTCCTTCATTCAAGTTCTTTCGCGCAGAGGGAGAGTTTGCCTTAGCCCAGGCGCTGGCAGCAATCACATGTCTCCAAGGTCTGCAGCAAGAGCCAGCCGGAAGCGCTGGTTGTGTCCTCAGAAGCGAGCTGGTTTAAAGTTTGAGAGTATGTAAAGTTTGTGTTGAGCTGGTAGCGTGACAGGTGCTTTGGCAGATTTCATCGGACAGAGGCAGGTTGCTCCTGCTCTGCCTGTACTTCTTGAAATGTGATTCCCCTGTCCGGCACAAGGATTTACTTTACCAATGGCAACGCTCCGTGCCCCGTCGGCTCCCAGTCCCCTACTCGGCATATCTCGGCATGCTGGTCGCATCTGGTCGATCCAGCATGCTGTGTCTGCACAGCAGCTCGGATTCATACCCGTCTTGGTCTCATGCGCATTTTGTCTTTGGTGCCGCCCGCTTCATAGGCCAATCGTGGATGCGATCAGCTGCATTGAGGGGGCTGACGAGACCGCATGCATGTTAAGTGCTTCTTTTGCCTTAACACTTGCTTTGCCCATGCCTTTGCCAGAAGCAAATGCAATGTGTTGCAGGACGATCGATGTGCCCAGCGTTTGTGGGGGCACACTTTTAAGTGTGAGGGCCTTAAGTTCCTAGGGCCCAAGGTTCACACTTCGCTTCAGTGGCATGCGTGAACCAGTGTGTAACTGTGCGCCATCGACAAGGAATGTGTGCAGCGCAGAAATGAGTCGCTGCTACCCAAAGGGTGTTTCACATTGGAATATCTTGGCGTCACGTCGTCTGCGCGTCATGTTTAAAGTTTACACCTGGCATCGAAGCATCCATAGCTTCACAGCCTTTCCGTGCTGGCAAGATGTGAAGCCAGGTTGGTGCTGAATCCTGGAGGACGAAGGGATTCTGCGGTTGGGCCGCATAGTTGCATCCTGCGCATCCAGCGTGAGGAGGGGAGACGTTGACTTGTCAGCAGCCTGCCCTCTGTGACAACATCTGTGTGCGAGCGGCTCATATTTTCAAGTGAGGCATGCACAAAGGCAATGGGACGGAGTGTGACGCAGTGTGACGCAGACATCCACTCATCTGGAGGAAGCTGCCCCCTGAGCCACCGACGACAACGTTGCCGGCTCTAGCCTGTGGAGATGTGACGGCTGTGCCAGATGTTGTGCCCGTCAGTTGTCCTGTCTATGTTGTGCGTCTGCTGTTTACACGGTTGAGGTCACGGTGACGCATAGCAGCACCTTAACCCATTCAGCCACATCTTCGGCAACTTCCACCATGTCAACCTCGAGTCAAACAAAGACTACCACAGCCACACTCACCCTTACGACAAGCTCCACATCCACGGCCACCACAACGGCCACAGTCACCTCAGTAACAGTTACGAGGACCTCGACAGAAACTTCTTCGAGCAGCACAACGGTTTCAGAGAGCAGTTTCACCAGCAGCAGCACCAGCAGCAATACTGTCGTCACACCGCCTGGCCTGGCCCTGAATTCCAGCGATTGTTGGAATTGCAGCGACTTGGACAATTTCTCTGCGGACACTACCAGCACTACCTTCACCAGAGCCACGACCACCGAACCAGATGACAGTGATTGCTGGGATTGCAATGAGACAGATCTCGACAGCGAGACAGGTCTCGACAGCGATGTAGGGGATATGGGCTCAGGAGGCGATGCCACGACTGGACCTGGGAGTTACGAGATCTCGACAGCGTCACCTCTGGGCAAGGAGATGACTTCCACGACATCTGCGACACCTGCTCTGTCAGCTGAGGCGGATGATTCAGATGCAGCTTCTTCGCTCAGTGAACAGGATGAGCATGCTGAGCTTCAAGACACCAGCGATGCTACACCTGATCGCACGTCGGACCTCGAGCATGACAGGCCACATCAGTCCAGCTTGCAAACAAAGCCTTCATCTCACAGACCTGCGGCAACCACTGCCAGCATCGCAGCACCGTCGCGACACCTCCGTGCAACCGCAAGAGTAATCTCATGCCCGAACCTCAGACTTGGCATCAGCGGCATCATCGCTCGAAGTTTTAATTTTCCTTGTGTGACTCTGGAATTGTTGGCGAGTCTCAGGAGCCGGCGCCAACTGTGACAGCCGCGACGGCTGTCAGCAGCTGGACCGCACTGGACTCTCAGCTAGCTGCCGAGTGTTGAACCCGTTGCCCTCACTTCTGATGCTCCGGACCGCCTCAGGTAATCAAGTTGTTCAGGGACAATATCCTCGTTCACAACACCTGCATACATGCAAAGCGAACGCATAGCGGAGACTCATGAATTCAAGCCCCGCTTAGGCTGCTGCACAGTCAATCAGTTGTAGACATTTCTCTTGGCTGCAATAGGCAGCAGAAGAATCCTGCATCCAGACTCTGTACAGTTTTGGCACGTGTCAATTCATCCTTTCTCAGTAGAGACTGCTAGATGGCTTTTTGTGCCTGAAGGTCTGCATCCAAAATGGAAGGTCTCTCCGCCTCCGACGTCTTGGTGCTGGATAGGACATTGCGAATTGTGAGCTAACCTACCGGCCCAAGACTTGAGTGGCCCCCGGTCACAACTAGTACTCCGGCGCAGAGTTGAGTGGTAGGAGTTGTTAGGAGTGTGTCGCTGTGTCATTACAATGATGCCTTTTAGGCGGGTGGTGGCGCGTGTCGGCGCAGAATTTTTGCTCATGGCACCAGTCAATCCACACAAGACGTTGCCATGCGTTGCTCTCTGCTGCCGTCAGCCGCTCAGCATTTTTGGTGTTTTCGAGCCGGCTTAGCAACGCTGCTGAATTTCACCTCCGTCAGCGCTTCGCAGTTGCAAGAGATGGAGGTTCATTGCTGTGAGGGCACGAACACCGAAGAAGCTGACTCCCCTTGCACGGATTGTTCGGCTGATTTCGGATCTCAGCGGTTTCACACCTCATTAGCAAAACTCAAAGAGAAGAGCATCGAAGGTGACGACCCGCTGCCATGGCGGATAAATCAGAGAATCCCATGCGTCAAATCCGTGTGGAGAAACTGGTCTTGAACATCAGTACTGGCGAGAGTGGCGATCGTCTTACACGAGCTGCGAAGGTGCTCGAGCAATTGACAGAGCAGCAGCCAGTGTTTTCCAAGGCTCGCATGACCATTAGGCAGTGGAGTGTCCGCCGAAATGAGAAGATTGCTTGCCACGTGACCGTTCGTGGTGAAAAGGCGGAGGAAATTCTCGAGAAGGGCTTGAAAGTGAAGGAATACGAGCTTCGCAAAAAGAACTTTGCCAGGAATGGGAGCTTCGGATTTGGGATCACAGAGCACATTGACTTGGGCATTAAATACGACCCGGGCACTGGCATTTACGGCATGGACTTCTACGTTCATCTCTCCCGGCCCGGAGGTCGCGTGCAGTACCGAAAGCTGCGCCGTGGCAGGGTGGGAGCGTCTCACCGGCTTAGGAAGGAGGATGGCATGAAGTGGTTTCAAACAAAGTATGACGGCATCCTTCTGAACAACTGAGCAAGCCTTCTTTAGATTGACTGCGGACGTTTGACACGTCAGCTGGCCAAGCACGATAGCTTTCAAGCTCATGTATGTACCTTCGCCAGAAATGCTTGAGGTTAAATAAAGATGCCGCGCCTTGCATTCCCATTCCTGGTCGTCTTCTGCGAGCCGCAATTGCTGCGCGTCATGAGAATCTTGCAGCATGCGCTGTTTGCTTAGGACATCTCCGGCGAGATGATGTGGCATGGGCGTGGCTGAGCCGCGCAGTTGTGCGCATACGCCCGTACCACTATGGCTGTGAATGAAAAGATCTCGCGCGCTGCCTCTCGGCCCCACGAGCCGGTCCAACAAGTGCACGGATGTCTGGCAGGCTGCGTGCAGCAATCACAGCTGCCAAAAGAGCAGAAGTGTTGGAGCCAGAACTTGCAGGCCAAGTGAAAGTGTGAGGCATGGCTCCATGGGAACCTTGCAGCAGCCATTCGTGCCAGGAGCAAGAGAGGCTCTGCGATGCTTGGAGTTGCAGGCTTGTTCACCAGCATGCTTCATGTGAAGCGCAGTTGATTGATGAAGAAAGCTTACAGTAATCTGCAGTAGTTCTGCAGAGTTATTCAGAGTCATCCAGTGCACATGTCGACCTTGTCTGCTCGAAAGATGCTCTACATATCTCTACATGCCGTGACAGCCGTGACAGCCGCAACATGCAAAGAGGCGGACGTCAGAAGAAGCATTGAGGCCATTTGATTGATAGCTGACATTGTTTGTGCACCAAAATGCTTGTTGGGCAGGCAGCTATGACCGCCAAAGATGTGGAGCTGTTAAGGCCGACATCGACATTTAAATTTGCCTTCGTTTTGAGTTGCTTTCAGCCCTGCGCCAGGAGATGCATCGAGGATGCAAAGCAAGCAGGGCTGAACCGACAGGAGGCCGAACGCTGCGCTTGGCTCTTTGCATCTGCATCGTGCTTCTGCTGCAACAAAGCACATTGCTGTACCACTTTGCATTTGCCTTTTCAGGTGGCCCGTGCACAGAAGCAGCTGCAGAAGCTTGGACAGTCCAGCGTCGGACGCGAGCTTGCCGAGGCAAGGGGCGTCACGAACCTTCGCAGGTCATGCAGAAAGTCAAAGTATCAATGGAGTCCTCGATATCTGGCATGTTTAGCACTTAGGGTTCAGGGAGACAGCACCCAGAACCATGGTACTAAGGGTGCAGGGTTTAGGGTTCAGGGTTTGTGGGGGAGTGGTCTTGGGTTTAGCTTCCGGTAACCTCAGGGAGCGAACTTGTGTTTTCCATTTCTGTTTCGCAGTTGCCATATTTGAGCATGCCCTGAGGTTTCGATAAGCAAGCATTCCTTGCAGTGACGCCACAGTGATGCCACTGTGTCGGAACCAATGTCAGTGATGCTGTGTGTATGACATGTGTCGATTTTTCAGGCGCTTCAGACAGGCGATGCTGTGCGGCTGCGAGCAGCTGCCCGAGCTGCAACAGCCTGGCCCTCACCAATCGCATGCCCCTACTAGCCTTCCTGTTCGAAGTCAGCGACCGCATCCATATTTGTGTGAGGATGCTGGGATGACTGGCGCGGAGGCAGGCGCCCGATAGGAAGCCGAGCAGACGCATCGACACATCGGATTCATCGGATTCATCGGATTCATCGGATTCATCGGATTCATCGGATTCATCGGATGTCAGATGCGCTGTTAGAAAGGTGGACTCGGCATGGCATCGGCTTCGAGAGTTGGAGTCCCACAGCTGGCTGAGGCGCTGAATGGGACGACCTTACGACCTTCTACTTGCCTACGTGATTCAATGTGGGGCTGCTCTGTGGCAGGCAGCAGCTCGATGGTGCTCTTGCCAGCAACGACGCCGTCAGGTTGCAGGCAAGGAAGGGACTCTCGAAATGTTTCTGTTCGTGCGTTTAAAACGAGAATTTTGAATCCTTCAGGCGGCCATCAAGCAAGCCGAGCTCGGAGGTGGGATGCATCGTGTTGGGAGAGCGATGCCCGATTTCTTGTCCATAGGTCTTGGTCCGACAGAACTTTCTGCTGCCAAGCGGAGCCATGGATGCAGTATGATGCAGTGATGCGTGCTTGCTAACTTGTCGCACCTTGATGCTGTCAACTCAGGCATCTGGATGCCTTAAACGCTCGTCTTCACGCACGTCAGGACATGCATTGCCAACATTTCAGACACCCCCCCACTCCAACACTCCGCCACATGGCCACATGCTTGTCGCATGTTGTTTCAAGACTCTGATGTTTCAGCGTTTTCATGGCCCGCTCAGGAGCTACACTTGGCTCGCACGAGTGGGCACGGACCCCGGTTTGGCCCAGTGATGCCCAGAGCTCGTCGGCACTCGGGGGGGGGTTTGGCGCTTCAGGAATCCATACGCGCTTCTGGCTGCAGTGCGGCAAGGACAGGAGGCGCAGCGGTGCAGCGGCGCAGCGGCGCAGCGTAGCGAAATGTTGTTGAAGCATGTGAGGTCCCATGACCGCGCTTTTTGAGTGCGTCCTTTTTGCTTCTCTCCTTCTGTCACTCCACTTGCGGTGACACTTGGAGGCTGGTCTTCCCCAACATGAGCTGGAGGTCGCCAGGCGAGAGAGAAAGCTCTGGATTGAATCTGGAGGTGTTTTTTTGTTGTGACCCTTGTTGGGTCACCCAGGCGATCAGCCGAAGCACTGTCCGGCGACAGTGGTCCCGAGACTGTGCCACAGCTGTCAGCACCACCAACACAACCTCAGGTGCAGACCACGCAGTGGCTGGACCAGCCTCCCACGATTCTGGGAAGCCTGTATCCCCCACCGTCGCCGTGTAACGGAGCTGCTGGTGAGACAACACATGACATCCAGCACATCCAGCAAATCCAGCAGCCGGCACGACCTGGCATTCAAAAACAGCAGCGGCACACTCAGTAATTAGCTGCCGGTACCGTAGCTTTGCTTTCAATGACAGGTTCAGCCTGCAGGCCAGAAGGGACCCGTTACCACCCGCGGGCCATTGGTCATTGCCTACCCTCTTGAACTTGCAATCCGTACGCTTGAGATTCCTCAACGCACTCTTGGTAAGGGGCTGAAGGGAGCGAGTCAGCGGCGTACATGTCAGCCATACATCGCCAAGTCCAGGTCGAATGACTTGGTTGTTGGATCTCGTTATTTGAACAGTAAGGTCATGGCCTCCGGTTCAGCCGGTTCCAGATGCCGGCTGCTAAGATGATCCAGACTCAAGTGGCTCAAGTCTTAGAACATACTCCGTGGCTGGCCCTGTGCAACCAAGTCTCCATTGTCGGTCGGTGTGCTGACACCTTTCGCCAGCTCGCCTGCCAAACAGGTGGTGTGTGGGCTAGCATGGACGAGCATGTATTTTCATTCAATGTGAGCGGGATGCCGCGGGCAAAAACCGTTCAGATTTACTACGTTGATGCCTAGATCTCCAATGCATTTGTCTTTGACCCGCCCGCGACATCTCCCGTTGGCTCCATGTGGTTTGCGGTTCTCTAAGGCTCTTAACTGCTCTTAAGTGAGATGGCAAGTGCATGGACCATCATTCCCCCGCATGGACTCGCAGCGAATGGTTTGCAAGCTTCGGGGTGGTTTCGGGCATCCTGGGAGATCATGAACGACTCCGCTGACTTTGTTGTCACTTGTGTAGGTGCCTGCGCCGCATTGGACTGCAATCTGAGATCCGTCGCAGCTCCTCTGATAATTTGACCAATGCGATGTACAGCCGGATTGGCCCATTCTGAGGTGTGCTTAGTCCGATATTGACCGCTTGTGGAGAGCAGGTTTCCTGTTTTCAACAAGTCTCTGCAGAGTAGTGGTAACGTCAATGTGCAGGAACAAATTCGAGTCAACGCTGCCTTGCGGCCGGCAATTGCAGTCCGGGTACCGTGGGACACGTACTGTAAGCCGGAGGCTCTCGCACGCTTGTCGCAAAAACTCGAGAAGTGCGAATTAACTGGGTCGAGTTTTAGCGGAGCTTTGCAAGTCGAGAGTTCGAAGACACAATTCTTGAATGGTGTGCCGTCGTGAGACCTTACCTCTCCTTCTTGACGACAGCACTCGGGCCACGGGTCCCCTCAAACTTACCTCTTGCAGCTGCATGACGAGGAAGAGACATCCCAGGTTGATCACAAAAAGCGTTATTGGATGTTATTGGTCTCGCTTTTCGGGCATGCCAATTGTGTGTACTTGCGATACTGTCCATGACACGACCGTTGAAGCTTCCTTCGAAGGAGCAACCTGGAAAGGAGAGGCAAAGACCGAAGAAGTGGGGCTTGAAAGCTATCGGGCGGGGGGGGGGGGGGGGGGGGGGGGGGGGGGGGAACCCAGACACCTACGGCCCAAGGCCTCAGCGGATGTCTTGCTGGGTTCCACTTCCTCCGTGCTGAGCAGGTTCTTGCGCGCAACTGCGCGCCATTGCGCAACACTCTTCCGGTGCACAAGTTTACTGATGTGAGCGAGCTTCACGGTTGGCATGCCGGGTTTGACCCCAAGATCTTGCACACGAGCATGCCGTGGTCGGGGCCGACATCACAGCACATAGCCGCATGATGGTCGAGTTCCTCACGCTGCCGAGCAGTGGTTTCAAGAACTGGCTGTACACGTTCTCCCCTTAATTGCCAGCGACGACCTGACACAACGGGGGGTGAGTGCCTCCGCGGGGCTGCACACGGCACCGTACCTCGACCATAGTGCACTTCAAGGAAGCCAGAATGTGTGCCGATCAGTGAATGCAAAGACAAGCGATCGGATTGAAGCAGTTTATCGGAAAACATCGCACATCCGCAATACATCGCCATACTTCGCAAGATGTCGTGGATGCAACGCCAATCGTGCAGTTTCGACATATCACAAGGGCGTGGCAAGGAGATCCAGAAGACACGACCACTGAGGAATAAGCAAAGCGGGCGTCTGCAACAAGAGGACGTCTACTGTTCCTCAAAGCGCTATTTGTCGGATGATTCTTGGCTCCGCTGATGGCGTTAGCCGTTGCGTTTAGCTTGTGCATTGCCACGGCCACGCTTGGCGCTCAGTCTTCTCCCTGCATCCCATGTTGAGACTCAAAACGATCAGAACAGACTGTTGCCATTTATTATATTGCACATTCTTGATCAGGTTGGACCGTGAAACGTGACTTCATGGCCATTCCGAAGTGGCATGCCACACAGTGCAGTTTAAAGCATGGTTGAAGCTGAGTGCGGACATCGCTCCTCGACACACGATTGAGACCTGTGACCTGAGGTGCTAGTGCTTGGCCGCTTGCGTCGAGTGTGACAGACAATAGTTCCACAAATTCCCGGCGGTCGGTACCACCAGCGCAACCTCCCGCTGCCTTTGAGGCTCGCAGCTTGCAATGAACTACCCAGGTTTTTGTGGCTCCATTTATACCTTTCTTCCACTCTATGCCTTTCTTGCTCGGTCTCTCTATCTCTCTCAATGTCTGCCTCCCTCTCCTTCTTTGTTTCTTTCTTTCCTGGTCTTCACTTTGCCTCTGTACACCGCGAGCATGTCTTCACTCAAGCGCAAGGAAGGGCGGCGTAGACCCCCTAGACTTCCTAAGCAGCATGCTCTCAAGATTTACAGGCCTTGGCGAGAAGATGTCGTTACAGCCATCAGGGTCCCTCTACACTTTGTGCAGCTTCAGCGCCTTGGAACAAAAACCTTGTGGAACTCCACATAGCTCCGCCGACCATATAGCGTACCCGTTCTGAGTGTTAACATAGCTTGACTTCTCAGCCAGCTGTTCCGATTTCGCAAGATTTCGCACCAATTTTCACAAGATACTTCTCTTCCGTGTTTCTCTCTCATCTCTGAATCCTTCGCTTTTGACAATGTGCTGCTTGTGGCTTCGCTCGTGGGCAGGTGTTGTTTGCCACCATGGGATGCTGGCTCAGTATGTATGAGTATGGGCCGTGCCACTTTGCTGGTTCGGCTTGCGCCATCTCTACTGGGCCGAGGATGCTGTTGCATGGGCCTGTCCAGATCTGTGGTTCTGGACCCCGAGCAGCCCTTGGACCACAAGGTGTGCGGCTTAAGCCCGGCATCGGCCTTCGACTGCTGGCCAATGCTAGTGGCGAGCACGTGCAGCAGGTGTATGCTGAAAGCTTTACGCGTCTTTGCCCCGGATACGTCAGTCCTTCGTCCCTTAGTAGTTCTGAGGAACATCAAGACTGCAGCAAGGAAGAGACGACACTTTGCGTGTGCTGAGGACACGACAGGGCCAAGGTTTGGGAGTCTGTGCTCAAACAAGGAGGCGCTGCATGAAGTCTGCCAGAAAGGGCCTCTTTATGCCTCTTTGCGGTCTTTTGCCCTGCCAATTGTGAGGTCAAGAGATTATGCGCTTCAACGAGGTTGAGGACCTCCTTGTTTCGCGAGCCAACCTCACGTAAGACGTACAAGACGTCGTGCAAGAGAGGACATTCGGTTTCACAATCCAATGGCCACCGAATTCTCAAGAGTTGGTGCCGGAAGCTTAAACCTGCACAAGCTTCGACAACTTGGACTTTTCATATGGACTTCCCATTGACCCCAGGTCACCTGCACAAACAAGTGTTCGGTTTTTGTATGGGCCCATTCATATGGCGTTTTTGCCGTGATTCTGTCTTTGTGCTTTTTTCTTGATGCACCTCTCTCTTGTTCTTTGCGTTTGCTCGCTCTCTCTCTCTCTCTCTGTCTCCCTCTGGTCGCGGATTGTCACGGAATGAGCTGCGCTTACAGCCTTATGATGGTGACTTGCCAGCGAGACTTCGGCTGAATGCATGAGTAGCAAGACAAAGATGAACCATGGCTCGTTGTGCTTTCGAATGTTGATTACGCATGATGGCACCTAAGTACACATCTTCTAGATGTTGATGCAGGAAGAACATGCTGCCGTGTGCAACAGCTGTGCCATCATAGTGCAGTACATCCGGGCTGACATGAAGCACGACATATCGGATTTGGAGAAGCATGGAGATATGAAATCCACAGCTGCTTGACGTGTCTTTTGTACGACGACTGGTCATGCCGTCTCTTTACTGTTTCTTGTTGCATTGTTTCAGATCCATTGCGGCATGCGCACGGGCTGTTGTCTTCTTGAAGTCTTGGCGGGTGCTCAGGTGCTAGTTCTTACGGAGCTGTTCCTGCTGGGTGCCCAGGGCCTGCAGTTCCGCATCGCCGATATGGGGCAGCCTCTTGTAGCTGCAGAAGTTGCAGCGAGGTGGTGGCATGCACCACCTGCTGTCCAAAGCCCATCGGCATCGGTGCAAAAGATGTCGAAACGCGCAAGGACGCCGTCGGGAATCATCAGCAAGTTAGTGTCGGAGTTCATGTTACCCACGCCGGGAGCCGGAGGCTGTTGGCTGGCAGCTCCATCGTAGTCGGGTATGGCATGATAGAGGAGGCCGGGCCGAAAATGCACACGCGTGGTTGGTGACGAGGAATCAACCCACGCCATTGTGCCTCATCGATCTGCGACGTTTGTCGGACAATCCAAAACAGAGAAATATAATCACCCTTGTGAATTGCAACGAGCCGTACGCTTCAAGACATGGAAGCCGTGTAGAGACTGTCAGAGATTAAAGAACAGTACGTTCAAAGGCTTCAGATGACCCGAAAACCTTGGCAAACCCCGGCAGACCATGGCAATGTGATCCCGCTGAACAACTTCGGACCATTTACCACGTTTCTGTGCAAACAAGTAAGCATTCAACATGAGAACGTGTGGGGAATGATCGAAATACCACGCAAGCTGCGGTTGCGGCATGTCGTGGCTGGGTCGTGCCTGGGAACCTGAAGCCGAAAAATTGTGAAGTCTCGGCCGAAATCTTTCATTCAAATTCCAAACCCTTGTTTCGCCTGATCCTGATGACCGTACAAAAATTGCATGGGTTTGCTCGTGCTAAACCCGTGATTTACCTCGAGTTTTTGAGGTTTTGGGAAAACCCCGTTAGAAGGGCCCCTTTTTTTCGGCGTCTGGTTTCTGTCGATGACGCGGCTGGTACTCGTACAAACTGACCGTGCCTGACAGGTCGGCATTGTTTGCTTTGATGCCGGCGGATGTGCAGTCCGCATCGTGGCCAGAGAGGCCGCCAGTGCTGACAGCATCCCGGCCCGAGCTTGTCACCAGGTTGACCCAGTCGTACGAGTCAGGGTTGCTCTACTTTAGTGCATGATGAAAGCACCATCGACAGAATTGTGTCACTGCATACCTTCAAAGATAGTACATGGTGGAATTTCTGGGAGCGAAATTATTATTCAGCACATTGCAGCACGTTTCAGCAGCTTCTCCCACGCTTTCTTATTCTTTCCTTGTTTGCTTGATATCATTGCGAGGCTCCTGCATCTGCGAATTGCCAGAGTCTATGGGTGGTTGTGATGAACTGTCTCATCATGTTAAATGACAGGCCTTCGGCGAGCAGTTTGAGATGGTTCTGCGCGTCCTGCAACCGGCAGAGACGCTGCCGGCTTTCACCACAACCATTCCGGAGGCGTGCTTGGTTCATTGGTTCACGCACGCATGTCCTGCCGCGCGAATGTTCTGCATGTCGATGGTCTGAGAGACCAGGAATCAGGGCCTGAAGGCAACGAGGCGTGGCATCAGGCCGGGAATTCAGCACGCGTCACGACGAGCGTCCCATCGAAAAGATTGGAAAGTTTCTGCAGATGCTGGCGAGCTTCCTCGACAAAGCCTTGAAGGCCGCCGATGCTACGCAAGATCTAGGAGGTTCACTAGGGGGTTCCAACCTCTGCATGCGGGCTACTACCCAGGCCTACAATTGGGCCCACTACTTCCTCCACTGTGCTCTGCGCCAGCGCATGCCTGATACATTCAGATTGCCAGGAGTTCTTGACAGTTCTTGAGGCTATCTGCCACTATCTCACCATTCCAGGCGAGATTTGTTCGCCCACAAGGGAGTCGCCCAGCCGGAGCTGTCTTTCCTGCCCAACGAAGAGGCTCAGCAAGACGTGCCCTCATGGTGCTAGTCCAATGATCTGGAGATTTGAAGGTTGCGGAAACCTACCACGGAATCCTGAACTTCGGGGCTTCCCAAGAGGCAAGCTCTACATCTTCCTTTGTGTACGTATCAGACGTATCACACATGTCTACATTCGATTGCTTAGATTGCTAGAGTTTTCGGACGCTTCTAAGTTCAGTTCTTAGAAGTAAAGGATACGCTGTGCTGAGCCTTCAGGACCTTGTCGGCCATCTGATCGTAACGAATGTTAGAGTGGAGCTGGCCTCAGTCATGTCACAGCCCACGGGAGGACACCTGCGACACCAGAGTGACTGCTAGGTTTGGGCTCTTGATCGGGACCGAACCACGTACAACGTCAGCGTGCCACATAGGGCACACGCTGCAGACCCAGATGAGATGGGCATCTTGCGGCATCTTTCGGCTAATGATAAATTGCGTGGAGTGTGAGGTCCCTTCCCTTACGGATACGCAGACGTTTGGGTGCTGGGCTCAGCCTTGTAGGTCTGAGAGCAACAAAGGGACTTGTTCACGGACCTGTTTTTTTTCCACAGAGGCTCTGCCTGGTGTTGCACATTCCTCAGCCCTTTCTCAACAATCCTGACCACTTCGGCGGCATGCGCCTGGGGTTCGGAGCTGCGGAGCTGAAGGCCGCCCCAAAGAGTTCAACAAATTTCGAGAATGCCCGAGCACATTGTGTAGTGTTGCGACCTGATGTCGCTGTGGTCATTACAGGGCGAGGAGCGCAGAAAGCGGCTGGAGAAGATTTTGTCCCACATCGTTGAGATGCAAGGCTCACCCTGTTGATACCGCAAGTTTCCACGAGTTTCCGCCTTTTTTCGATCCGCAGGCAAGTACCTGTCGCAGCCGCGGCACGCCGAACAGCAAAATCAAGACAGCAAATCACAAGTTTTTGCGAACCTGTGCCTGGACTTCTGCTGATCGGATAGTTCAGGTACGGTGTAGCAGACTACATGCGAAACCGTCGTCAGTACCAGGCGCGCAATCGCACCTCGGCAACCGCTCTTATGAGCGCTGCGCATGGTCGCAGGTGGAGTCAAACGTGCGGTTGCTTCATGCCGACCTCCGAGCTCCATGCTGCTCTCACTATCTTTGCATTACATGCTTGCATATTTTTGCCGCGGTGCAGTTTGCTGCGCGTGGCTGTTCCACGGATGTTAGACCAGGCGCTGAGCCATCTCGACATGCTCAGTGAGAACACACGGCACCTGACCAAGCAGGACTCACTGGACTGAGCAATCGCCTTCCTGCGCATGTCCAAACTTGCCATGTAGTCCATGAAGTCTCCTCTTTTTCTGAGGCCAGACACCATTGAGGCAAATCTTCAAGGCGAAGTGAGCGAGTGCGTCATCTGCCTGGAGCAGGCTGGCCGCTGCATCGCATGAAATTCACGGAAGCACTTCAGCTGGTTGCTTTTGGTTGTTTTGCTTCGGCTGGTTTGGGATTTCAGAGAATCGCGGGTTGCAAGGCGGGGGGTCCTATGTCCTGTGCTGTGCTATGCTGCGCTGCGCTCTTTTCAGTCAGAAGTGGATGATCGAGAGGAAATCGGATGGGAAGGGTGCTTTTGCAGTTTTGCTCCTGTCGCTGGCCTTTGTTGCTTGTACTCTCAGGTATTTGTTGAAGTTTCAACGGCTTTGAGCTGACCAGATCTCTGACCAAATCTCTGACCAACTGTCAAGTGGCAACTAGCTGCAGGTTTGCAGCGAGTCTCGCCTCGCCTATTTGCTGGCAGCTGGTAAACTTGGCTGGGCACCCCTCGCAGTTTCGATGTTTTTTGAAGTTTTTCCTCCGACTGTGGGAGTGCCAGGCATGCCGGCACATCTTTCATTTAGAGTGTGCGCAGCAGCTGGCTTCCCGCAAGTGCCCGGTCTGTCAGGGGCCGTGATCGCATGATAATTTTCGCATGCAACATGGGCAGCAGCTGGCAGAATAGTAACTCAATGCAACACCTCATGGTACAGATCTGAAAACATGCCGGCTTCCAAGGTCGGTCAAGCTTCAGCGAGGTGCGGGAAATGCCTGACATACGCCACAGTCACCGCCTGATGGATGGATGTGTGTGGGTGTGTGTGCGTGGTGTGTGTGTGTGTGTCTATCTGTGTGTCTGTCTGTCAGTCTCTCTCTCTCTCTCTCTCTCCGTCTCTGTCTCCTTGCCTGTCTGTCTCTCTCTCTCTCTCTGTGTTTGTCTGTGTGTTCTGTGTTTGTTTGAAATTTTGGGTGTGCTGTATTTCAGTGCAGCTGCCCAGTAGATCCCAGTCCCAGCAGTGTGGCCAAGATCCTGGGGCGTGGTTCGATGCCATGGACATCGACCGCACTGGCGATCTGGACCTTGACGAGGCTCAAAGCGGTAAGGTGCTGTGGCTGCGCGAGTTGGGCTTCAGCAAGCGCTTCTCGACCGTTTGCATAGGTGCTTGGGGCACTGGCCTGCACCTCAGTCCTACAGTTACAGGAGCTTTGTTTCCTCCTGGCTTACAGGTGGAGGCTGAGGCAGTAGGTCAAAGATGCATGAAAACGCATTAGTCCAGAAGGTTCGCATTTCGCTGGGAGAGGTTACAGTAGATGAGATGATTTGACCGGCCGAGGCTGTCGTGCTTCCCATCGATCGGGAGAAGTTGGAAACGCTTCTCAAACCGGAAGACATACAGGAGCCTCTGCGCTGACTGTACAGATACAGGCGCGGGATGGTCAAGAGTGTCCTATGTAGGATGGAGCCAAGCAATGCAATGGAGTGAACGACACGGTCGCTCAAGAAAGCGGGCGGCTCGAGAACCACACATGAGAGCACTTGGGGACCTTTGTCGAAGTCTGAGAAAGTGTCCAAGGTGACAACACCCAGTTTACCTTGGATGACGAGATTGTTGAAATCAGCGCCGGAAGCTAGGTTCTTTCAGATGAGAAGGAAGGGAAACGTAACTGTCAAGCACAAGGACTCGCCCCTTCCCGCTGCATTGCCCACATCCGATCTCTGGCGTCAGTGGGACAAAGAAGGCAGGGCCCGAACTGATGCGACCAGAGACGCTCAGGCGGATTACTCGCTTTAGTCAGTTTCAGCGGCATTTCATGGCCCCGACTCACGGCCCTGATAGAAGTTCATCGCTCAGGAAACTCACAGTCACAGTCCCACGAGAACAGCAGAACATGCCCATTCTTGGCGCAAACCGCAGAGGGGCACCTAGCGCAACCCAGGTAATGGTTTGGAGGTCGAGTTAGGGGTGCCGGATAGGAGCTACTAAAGTTACTAAAATGCATGGCGAGCAATTGTTGAATATAGGGTGCAGTCCATGAAGGCACTGGCCGCATCACCCGAAAGGCTTTCGAGGCCGCATGTCAGAGGACCGAAGGCATCGAGAGCCACGCGAGACTTGCCGTTGCCAGGATCCAGAAGGTGGACTCCTGGCCCCCTGGCAAAGGGAAGAGCATTGAAGAGCTCCCGCTCACTTCACGCTGAACCCTCAGGTCTGGATTCTTGCTCGCTTGAAGCTCGTCCACCGCGGTCAGAGACCTCAACCCTGTCTTCACCTCAGCGGGTCGGGGGGACAATTGAACAATGTTGAGTGAAGACGTCGAGAATGTGGACAGGTTTGGAAGACCAGCTCCACGAAACAACGATTGGACATGCATCCTCTTGAGCCTAGCAGTATTCTCATAGAATTGGGTGAATATACAGTGAAAAACGAGTGACTACATTGAATTGAAAATTGAGAGTTTGGCTAAAAGCTAAGTCTCCTTAGGTCGGACGATGGCTTTTACTACCGTTTGAGACTTTTAGAGACTGAGGCTTGGCGGCGGCTGCGAGCACAGAAGCTCTCGGGCGGCCTGGGGCTTCAGAGTGCGGAAAGAGAGCATCCAGCATAGTCCAGCATAGCGTATACAAAAGCATAGGACAGTGTAGCAGTGTATCCAGCAAGCTTTCAGTCCTCGTACTACGGAGCGTTGACTTCTACGGGCACACTCATTGCACTCAGGTGGTTCGACTTCTGGGACTGGAGTCAGGCAGCCTTCCTCGTGCAGAGCTGAAGCTGGCCAGATCCGGACAGCTTTGTCTTGCAGGTAGGTTTCTTGACCCGCGGACAGATCACTCGCGCAGTTGCGCGTGAGTTTGAAGGCCTCCTGCCCGCATCTTGAAGAGTGCACCGAGCCGCTCTGGTTTTCGAGGCCGTCTGGCCGACCTGAAGTGCTTGGACTTGGTTCAGGAGGTTTGGAAGACGATCACCGAGGTCTGGCAGAGTCTGGCGACAAAAAGCAACTCACCGCCTTGCGGAGTCATAACATGTCATAACCGTGCAGGAGACGATGTCAAAGCCAATCACGCCTCGCTCGACGGCCTACAGCTTAGCACGAAACTGGTGTTGTCGAGCCTTGTCCCGAGAACGGCCAACCTGGCAAGGTCGTGACCCCATCCCATGTCCCAGATGAAGAGCCAGGGAGCCCTACTTCAGGAGCACACCGATGTATGCAAAGCAACGTAAACAGCAACAGCTAACAGTTCCGTCTGAAGGACACAAAAGTCAGGATCACCTGGTGCTGGCTTATCCTGACCCCTGGAATTTGCGAGAAGGCATTGCGTCATTTGCTTTGTCTCTGTCGGTCCTCTCGCTCTAAGTTTCAGTGCTGATCTGTGTTTCAGTGTGCCTCTGTGCTGCTCGTGTTCCGTAGAGCATCTTTGCGAGAAGAGACTCTGCAAGTGCAAAGTGAGACCTGACTGGCAGCTTCAGCAGATGCTTGGGTTTTTTGTCTGAGTGCCAGTGCCTGCCGCCGCCTTGAGGTCTGGAGTGGAGTAGATTCGTGCGACGGGCTTCAGTGGCCCTGCCGATAGAATGGTCGATTTATCCCAGTGCTATTTGCACAAGTTGGGCGATGCTGAGCGAGGTTTGCTGGCCGAGCTGCGAGGGCTCGTGCCGTCCCTGGTGGAGAAAGCACGCGAAGCCTCGGAGGATGCCAAGAAAACCGAGCGACTCACGATTTGGGGCGTGGACCTGGAGAAGGAGTCTGAGGCCTCTGACATCATTCTGCTGAAGTACCTCCGTGCGGAGGAGCTGAACCTGGACAAGGCTGCAACTCGCATTGTCGACACGTTGGTCTTCCGAGCTGACTGCAAGATTGATGGGCTCAGGGAGGCAGTCTTGCCTGGCTGCTATCAGGGCCATGACGTGATAAGTGGTCTAGACGTTGAAGGCAGGCCTGTTATGATCAGCCGCTTTGGCAAGATGGACTTAGAGAAGGTCTTCGGCGACATTGAGGCTTTCGTTAGATATCGTGCGAAACTGATGGAGGAGGCAATGGCCCAGCTCTCTTTCAAGAAGGGAGAGCCAGAGGATCTGACTCAGGTTCATGACTACTCTGGCGTGCCACTGATCTTTCAGACTTCACAGGTGAAGGATGCTGTTTCGGCCGTGACAAAAGTGTTTTCAGACCACTACCCAGAGACAAAGGGGAAGACGATTTTCGTTAATTTCCCCACTGCCTTCGCAAAGCTGTTCAAGGCCTTTTCACTATTCATCCCGGAGAGGACTCTGAAGAAGTTCCAGATCTTGGGTGAAAACGATCATGCGCAGCTTTTTGAATCCATCCCCGCCGACAGAGTGCCCGAAGGTTTGGGCGGCATGCATCGGGATGGGGCACTGGCTGGTCCTTGCAAGCAGGTCCAGGTGCGAGCCCGCTGCACAGAAGAGGTGTGCCTTCTGAAAGTGGAAAAGACCCCCTGCTCAATAGATTGGGAATTGCGAGTCTGCTACTGGGACGTCTCATACGAGGTTTGGTTCGTTGCAGATGGCACTTCTGATCTGGTGCAGAAATCCGATGGCTTGGTCCAGGCGACAGATGGAGTAATCAGTGGGCAGTACGTGGCCAAAACCGCAGGTGAGCTAAGATGCCACTTCATCAACAACGGTGCCTGGTTCAAGTCTCGACTTTGCTTAGCCAGAGCGCAGGTCCACATGTAAGCCCTTGTGGCGATGTGGCGCAGATCGCAAGCTAATGGTTTTGCTGGCTTACCTCGGAGCACAGAAAGTCAGCCACGGGATTTTCTATCCCTGTACCTTTCAGATGGTCAGGTTGATACCTTTGACACCAGCATTGCAGAATCCAAAGACGGTTTCCAAACCGAAGCAGTAGTGCAGTCGAAGAAAAGTTTGCCTTGCAGATCCTGACTTTGTGGAGCTTTGTGATCGGCCTCCGGATTTCTGTTCATTCCAGCACTGGAAGCAGCAGGCATCTGCTCTCGTGGAGATTTCTTGGAAGCAGGCCTGCCGTGTGGGCAAAGATACCCACGCCATGATCGCCATGTCGTGTAGCTTTGCAAGTTCTGACCCACGCAAGGTCTTGGCTCTGCTTTGCGGCTGAAGCTTTTGGATGCCGTGCACTCAGAATCGCGTCCCTGGCGGGGCGTGCTTGCTACCGTGGAACTGCACGAGGCATGCTGCTAAGAAGAGGAAGCAAGACAGAGCCAGAGCTGAGAGTGCAAGAGAGCGCCTTCACTCCACGTGCTCGTACTTATAGGAACCTTTACCAGTGAGGCTCCGGTTCCTTGAGGTGACCAGCTCACGGCCGTTTGATAATACAGCCAAGGTCACAGCGCAAAGATCAGCTGCGGGTCGACATCGGCAGATGCCGGGCACATAAGTCAGCGTAGATCATGCTTTATGCTCGAGCTGTGTGTGCATTTCGTGAAGCTACACACACTGAAAAGCACGCAAGGTCAAAAGAGATGCACAAGATGTTCAGCTTCGAAGAAGCTTTGGCCAGCTACCCAAGTATGCTTGAACCAATCGGTGTTCAGTTGCTGCAGTTATTAAGTGGGGTGATTCTTGCTTCGCTGCCTCCGGTCGTTGATGGGTTGCCTGCTTCCGACCGCACTTAGGGTGGAGAGGAAGCTGGCAGGACTTGCAGCATAACCAAAAATCAGTCACCACCTGAGCCTCTGATAGCAGCTCGCATCGCGTACAGCTACTATGAGTGCAGTTGCAACATTGACCAGGTTCTTCCACGGCTTGACGGATTGTGCATGCAGCAACAAGCGTTTGCCCGTCCCGTCCTTGTTATCTTGCCTATTGAAACGCACCGGTCACCACTGCCTTTGCCTTGTGTTATAAGGGCGAGCCCGAGCCGCGGACTGTCCGCCCACACCTTGGGAACTGCTCGTCCAATCTCCTGTTTGGGTTCTTAGCAGGGGTTGTGCGAGTTGACACACGAGGCCTTTCCCAGAGTGCTCTCTCCATTGAGGCCTCGTCGTGTGCCGTCCTAAGTCCTAAGTTCGGCCATCAGAATGACATGTAAGTCACGAAAGCCACCTGCCGAGGCAACATATGTGTTGCCTGACAGGAATCCAACACATGCATCTGTACAGACAAAGCTGTACATCTTGTGTTGTGTTGCAGCCCGCTGTCAAAACGACATCGCCAGTAGCTGCAGGTCTCCACAGGAATTCTTTACTAGTCGACACAGGGATGCGGTGAGCACTCTGTGCACTCTGTGCCATGCCCCACTTTTCTGTCCTGCGCTTGCGCTCGAAGAGCTGCAATGGCAAGGGCGGGCATGGTGGGAGCATGATGATGTTCTGGTGTTTGTAGGAAGGGCGATCCGGGAGTTTTCAATGCCAAAATGTCAGGAGGGGAGCGCCGCTGCGCAGGGAGTGGCAGTGCCCAGCAGCAACAGCCGACAACCCACACGGTCCGTTGCCCAAGCTCCATGGTTTTGCAAGAGCTACAGAGCGCTACACATAGTTTATGTTGTGCGCGCGTGGCATGCGAAATGCTGAAACCACTGTATGTATCCCGCCCCAGCAACTGTGCTGACCAGCTAGGTTCAGTGTCAACACCTGTGCAACACGTTTCTATTGGCTTTGCATTGCAAAGCTCGGCCTGAAATGGTTTCGCCCAAGACGGCGGCGGCCAAAGCTGATTCCGTTGCGACGGCCGCGGATTCACTGCTGGTAGTCTCCTGGAACTCAGCTGGCTTCTCAAGGATGGGTTTAAGAGTTGCACCCGTAGTTGTAGCACCCAGCTTGCATTTGTGCTCTTGGAGGACCCACAGCCTCATACAGGCCCACTTCGGCAGCCTAGATGCGTTCCTGGATAGCCATCAGGCTGACATATTTTGTGTCCAGGAGACTCGCATCAACGCAAGTCAGCTGAAGAGTCTGGCAGACTGCCAGCAGCTGGGCGCCATCTCTGCCAAGGGCCGCTACAAGAGCTTCTGGGCTTTTAATGAAGCCGGGCAGTACAACGGCACTGCGACATGGATTCGGAAGGACCTTGCGCCGCATGCGCGAGCCACTCAAGCAGTGTTGCGTGATGACATGGACAGAGACGGACGCTGCCTCCTGGTTGACCTGGGTGGCCTGGCCGTCTTCAACGTATACGCTCCTCTTGCGCGCCTGCAAGAAAATGGAGCTGTCAATGACGCAGCAGTGCGGCAGAAAAACAAGTTCCTGCACCTTCTACAGGGCCGAATAGAAGAGACCCGAAGGCTTGGCAAGAAGGTGCTGGTGTGCGGTGATTTGAACCTGACATATCGACGCTCAGATACACCCAGCATTTGCTTGAATGTGCCACTGATAAGAGGCAATGACGCTTCTTCTCTGAATACAAGTGAGCGGGGGTAATAAAATTGGGGAACATACTATAGACACTGTCAACTCATAGTCATAAGTCCTCCTTCAAATAACCCAATATCCTCAAGTGCTTTGAGTTCGGGGTCTTGCTGTCCGGCTTCAGGGGCGGTTGATGTCGAACCTCGTTGGCTGCGCGTCAAAATTGATGAAGGTTGCGTCTGCGGGAGGAAGGCCTGGGCAGTGTCCGACAAGAGCACGAAACCGTCTGCAGGAGGCCCGCACATACGTGTGGTGGATGCCGCTGCAGAGTTGAAGGTGCAACTGACTTTGACAGTGGAGACTGCTAAGAGATGCTTGGAGGTATTGCGCCCCAGTCCGGAGGGTTTAAGGGTTCCCAGCCCGGTGGTGCCGGATCTGCCCTTACTTCCTGCAGACCGTATCCTTATTGGGATTACAAAGGTCGAAGAGGATTCTGAGACGAAGGTCAACAGTAAGAGCAACAGAGAAGTTAGACTCTGGTCCAGTACGACGAGTGCGACTGCTCAAGTTGACGGCACGCCAATGCAGCTGCTGGCAGGCAGACAGGTGTGTGTCGCGTAAAGTTGCACATATTGATGCACTCAACGACGTACTGGCCATCACTATTGTGCGAGTGCTACTTTAGGTGTCATGCCTAACTTAACGAGCTTAACCGTCTTACCCCTCCCCCCCTGTGCAGACCCTTTTCAGAGGCCTACCTGAGGATCAGTTGATATTGCTCGAGTTTGGCGTGCCCTTCAAGCAGCTTGAGGCTCAGGGCATACCTGTCCACAAGGCGAGTCTCGGACTTGGTTCATAGTTCCAGAGCACGTGCTGTTATGTAGCCTTTCTTGGGCTTTTTGATGTCATCTCCTGCGTCGAAAGTCTGAAAGATATCGTCTCCCAGGAACGAGCCTGAGTGCGTGGACTGGCTGTCGGGTTTGGTGGGACCTTCTGGCAACTTTGTTGACACCTTCGCTTTCTGCCATGAAGCTGCTGCCGGTCGCTACACATACTGGAATCAGACGGGCAACTTCCGTTTTTGCAATTCCGGAGCACGGCTGGACTACATTCTTTGCGATGCCTCTATGCAGAAAGCTCATTTGCCGATTGCCCTATTCTCCAGTCTTGTCAGGAGATGTTAGAAGCTTTGCCTTGTTGGCGCCCGAGGCAGCAGCACCTAGTAAGGACGCCAACCTCGGAGCTTGCGGGCTCCTCGGCGCAGCACGCAGCCGAGTCAGCAGAGGCCTGGCAAACACTCTTTCCCTATGCTCTCCATATGCTCTCCCAGTCCTGAAACAGAGTCAGAGGCGGCTTGGAACGCGGCCACGTTTTTTGGTTCCTGGCATAATGCGCCCGCTCCTTGCTCAGCACAGATGACAAAGGCACTTTTGCATTGAGTGTTGAAGCTCTGACAGCCGTCCTCAGCCTGTTAGCCTCTTGAGGCACAAAGGGTATGGGACAAGGAAGACAAAGCTGTCAATGGCCTGGGCCTACAAGCAGACAACATGCGGCTCAACAAGTCGCAGTTTCGGCCGCCACACACGGGCATCTTGTACACCCCACCCAGGCGGGGCTTAAGCAATCAAAAACAGATCCGGCACTTGGGCGGCAGCTTCTGTCTGCTCGTGTCTGTTGATTTTATGGTTCTGGTGTGACTACAGAGGTACTCAGACCACGTGCCCGTTTGCGCGCTTTTCAAAGGCCGGGTGGGCTGTACTACTACTACTACTACTACTACTACTACTACTACTACTACTACTACTACTACTACTACTACTACTACTACTACTACTACTACTACTACTACTACTACTACTACTACTACTACTACTACTACTACTACTACTACTACTACTACTACTACTACTATACTACTACTACTACTACTACTACTACTACTACTTACTACTACTACTACTACTACTACTATTACTACTACTACTACTACTACTACTACTACTACTACTACTACTACTACTACTACTACTACTACTACTACTACTACTACTACTACTACTACTACTACTACTACTACTACTACTACTACTACTACTACTACTACTACTACTACTACTACTACTACTACTACTACTACTACTACTACTACTACTACTACTACTACTTCGTAGGCTTGTAAGTCTTGTAAGTCTCAAGAACGCTCGTGTCACATGAGGCCTCTGCCTGGACAGTCAGGCCGTTGCCTTAACCGAAGCCGAGAGCAAGCGCACGCAGCCCTGTTCCTCTCAAGCCACATTGACCAACTTCTTTGGCATCAAGAAGCCACGCCTGAGCTAAGTCCAAACAGGAACGTGGGATGTGGGAGTGAGCAGTGTGGATGGTGACAATATGTGACAGTTTTAGAGCTTATTCAGGCTGCGGGCTCGCACTGTACGTCTTACTCTGTCGATCTTGTGCTTGATCTTTTACGACGAAGGGGCTATTCATGGCCACGCCGTGCTCAACTATGTGCACCACAGTGCTGCCTTTCAAGCCTCGGGGGTTACAAAGCAGTGTGCCCGGTTGCGGCATGACTGCAAGTTGGAAAGCAGGGACAAGTGGGGGAGATACATATCCAGGGCAGGGCATGGATGCCTGGACGTCCGAATGATGTTCGAGTGATGCTCGGGTTTATGGATTGGGGGAGTTAGGGTCGTTAGACTCGTTAGACTCTGCCAACATGGCAGTGCACAGGTGCCGAAGAAAAGCATCCGAGCCCAGATAGCTGAAGGCATACTTCTGGGAGGGATACACGCGGGTTCAGTTCCCTCAGCTCGTGCGAAGATATCTCCGGATGTACATGTTGGCCTCATCCGAAAGAAGTCCCGCAGCCCATTGTTCACGCGTTTGTAGCTTTCGGCAAGTTGACCTCAATGCTCCGCCTGAAGATTAGAGGTATGAATATCTTGCGATGCAGTACGCTGACCCCGCATCTGGCTGCAGCTTGCGAGACCTTATACATCGAATTTCGACTTTCGAAGCAAGCATCACATGCCCGGAAACGTCCTTTCAACAGCGTGGCTATCGAACATTGTCTAAACAGGGATGCTCCAGCCATGCATGGATGTGACTTTGAAGGCGAGGCACCTTAACCCAACTAGACCGTGCCCAGACGGCACTTGGAGATTCTAGGACCTTGTGCAGTGCAATGCTGGCCTGGTTTGCCCCTCCGCGTGCCTCCTGGTCCTTCGGCAACTTCGCAGGGCTTTACGATGCGTCGTCGATGCGAAGTGCTGTGGCTGAGCTTCACGAACCCTAGGGCCCTAGGGGTCCATGTACCTTATTATTTTAAGGGGTATAAGAGAGGGACCCCAAGAAGGGACCCTTACAGTAAGTTGTTTTGCATTCTTTGTGAAGAGGATGCCGGCCAGCAGGTTGCCAAACCTGACAGCGCCACGAACTTACATTGTACAAGCCAGCAAAAGCGTCGATTGACTCTCTACAGTCGTGCGCCTCATGCGCTGGCACGTGTTTCTGGTATGCTGGTGCAGTCCACTGCTTTTGCGAGGCAGACGGATGCCTCGAAGGCAGACCGCTCAGTGAACTGGTTGGTGGCATATGATGTCGTACCGACATGACCGACGCCAGGTGTGAGTACAAGCACAAGTGACTCCTTGCGTACTTTTGTAAGGCCCGAGCTCCAGTGCATCTCAATTAATTTCGACTCCTTTTTACAATGCCTCATACGAAGAAAGACAATCAAGTCTTCTGAGTCGGCAGTACAGGACCCTGGCACACCCTCAGGCACCGCTGCAGTTCCTTTGTGCAAGCTTGCGTCATCTACTTGCATTAGTGTTCCCGTGGCCTTGTTTGGCAGCGCTCCGCTGTGCTGGTGCTGGCGCTGAGCTTTGTCGCAGCCGGGTGCTTGGGATCAGAGGGCAGGCAAGGGGTGGGCCCAGACGAGTTTCGCCATGCTTAGCCGGTTTTCCCTCCGAAGGTGGGCATCCAAACCTGGGACGAGGCAAGGCGTGCCAGCCATGGAAATATTGCACCCTGAAAACAGAAGTGAGATGCAATCGGTCGGACATGTGAGTTGCCAGAGCACAAGAGCTGGCAGGATGTGGTGCTGAGCCGGCTGTTGGTATTGGTCGGCCTCTTCGCTGCTCCTGCTGCCATGGGGTCGATAGCTGAGTGAGTCACCTCTCTCTCTCTCTGCCTCTCTCTTTCTCTTTCTGCCTAAACAGCATGGGCGAGTGTGTTCAGTTGTGTCCACGTTGTCGCACGTGTGACGAGGCGGCTGCCGCCATCCGAAGTGATTGACGTCAGTCATGAAGTGGGCGACATGGATGAGGGAACTCGGAGTATGCTTCCCCGACACTATTACTCGTATCATCCGCGATTAACTCACAGTTTGGCTTAGGTTGGCGCAGCCTTAAACACCAATAGCTCCACTCTGTGCAGTGTACCCGTGTTTAGCTCGGATACCTACGTCTCGCCAGGCAGCACGGTTCGGGTGCTGCGAGTGCAAATGTGCAGGCAGGCTGAACAGTTCTCTGACAGCCAAGTTGACAGCCGATACTTGGAAGTGCTGGTAGGCGCCCAAGTCTATGTTGATGGTGGGAAGCCCAACACCTGGGTTGCCATTCGTCCCTTGTGCCACTGCCAGATGCAACCTTGCAACTCACATTACAACTGTTTGCATGTGCCCGCTGCGCATGGTTGCGAGCCATAATTATGAGTCCCAGGACCCATCGCCTGGTCTCGGCGTCTGATGCTGAAGCAACGACCCGTGGCCTGTACTCTTAGTTCTGTCTCGGGCTGAGCATCACCGTGCAGTCTTTGAGGTGGCATTAAAGGAGGTGTCTCACCACCTCCCAGGACTCTCCGCGCTGGCCGCGAGCCGCTAGCCATAGTTTAGCAACGAACCGCTGGCTTACAATTTCTGGCATCAGAAAAGAGCACGGCCCCAGCTCGGCTTTGCACAGAGTCTAGGCTTGGCGAGTTGCGAGGCGAGCAGGTCGGCATATAACATTACCTAGCATTGCTCAGCATTGAGCAGGGCGCAGAGCTTCTGTTCTTCCCGGCCGAACGCAAGTGTTCAAATAATCAAACCGACCTTGCCGTACGCAAAGGGGACATGCCAGTCATGCGGTAGTGGGAGGTTCGTAGGTGTTCACCGGATATACTGTACCCCCCACGTCTTGTAGCCATGCCGCTGAGGCAACAGCGCCTTCGCTGTTTGTGTGCATGGAAGACATGTCTCGCTGGGCACAGCCCTTAGTGCCAGAGGCACTGCGCCAGCGAAGCTCCCGCAGTGCCCGGGATGTCTTTGATGACTCCGGGCTACTTCAGCAACTTCAGGAAGTGGAGCAATTGGAGCACTCTTCTGAGTGGCGTGCGGCTCTCTACGTGCTTGAAACCACCAAGCTTGACATCGCAGATGCAGCTGTCTGTTGCAAGTCCTGTCGTGCACCCTGCTGCTCCACTACGGACTTGCTGAAGCCCATGGCTACAATGGATGGTGTCGATCCTCTTAGCTGGTTGCGGCTTGACCCAAGTGGATCGGCCTGCCTCCGGCTTGAACATGCCAGAGACACCATTCCCCTCGGCCTAGGTCCTGCTGAGGTGCATGTGGCGGCATGCTTGACATGTGGGGTCGGGCTTGGATGGGCATTCAAAGAAGAATCAGCTGCTGAGGACTTCCAGCGTGTCGCCATCCAAGCGATCTCGGCTGGTTCGTTTGAAGTTACGGTGCCAGCCCCACAGGCAAACAAAGTACAGATGCCTGCAGCGCCCACCGGGATTACCTTGCTGTTCCATTCAATTGGCGATGAACTCGAGATCGCATGGTGCAACGAGACGTGCATCTGGCACAGTCGTTTGGGTTCCACAGTTTCCGTCGTAGTGGAATGTGTCGAGGCGGCGGACCTCAAATCAGCAAGAAAGATGCGGCCCAGTTCTCCGAGCAAGTGCATGGATGCAAGGAGGCTTGCCTTCCCATTCTGCCTGCAGCCAGTCAACAGAGTCAATGCGGGCCACATTGAAATGAGCACCACGATGCCAGTGTGTGCCAGGCACGTGCCGAATTCTCAAACTTTCTCCTTGCAGGCATGCACCGGCTCTGATGATTTCAGAGGCCGCTTTTCTGGGTCTTGGACTGGAAGGGACTCCGGCGAAGTAAGCTTTCATGCCCGATGGTCTTCCTCTCCACAGAGTCCTTCCAAGCGCAGTACAGCTCCAGTGCGTGTCTTTGCGAATGTGGCCGCCGTTTGTGTGCATCCCTTGTGGGAAGAGGCGTGCAGCAGATGCTGTGAGCTGGTAGTGGAGGAGGTGAGCCCTGTGAATGACACTAGGGGGCTCCTGACCTGGAACTTGAGATGTGGCGTGCGCCTTTACGACATCTTGCAGCGTCTTCACTGTCCAAGCACGGTGGCGGAGGTGGAGGTCAACCCAACGGGCCAGAGCTTTCACGGGATTGGGCCCAGCCCAGCGCGTTGGCTTCCGAGCGTCAGTTATGCCGACTCCGATGTGGGCTTTGATGATTCTGGGCCCGTGGTGCTCGAGACCAAAGCATTCGTCGATATCAATGAGGGCATCATCTGGTATGTTCTCAGGTTCCAAGCAGTGCCCGCAGAGCTGTCCCTAAGCATGCTGGAAAGATCAAGCTGCCAGCCGGTGAAGGGAAGTCCACAGACCCTCGTCCCTCCTCAAGCTTTGCTTCGGATCCGCAAGCCCCTGAGCTTGATCCCGCTGGTGTCGCAGCCGCTCGAGCCAACTTCCCCGTCGAACTTCAGGACTACAACGTCTACAATAGCACCGAGAGGAATAGCAGAAAGCAAGCAGCCTTTGCTCCATGAGCCGGACTCTAATCGTGACGGTGTTTTGGCTCAACCACTGAGTCAAACTTCTCCGACCGCGGGTGCCCGCGCGGACAGCCGGATGGAGCAAGCCGCGGAGAAATCGGAGAAAGCCAAGCTCTTCCGTGTTCAGCGACCTGCCTCCATGATGTGCTCACAGCGGAACCAAGAGGCGATGGCAAGGCATCCGGTTCTGTCACCTCGATCTTCTGGGGCTGAGAGTCCATCAGGTGCATGGATCGAGAAGCCCGAGCGAAAGAGCGTGCCGAGAATCGACTGTCGAACGCAGCCTGCGAATGCCCCCGAGGCCATCCCGAGCCTCGAAGCCACAGCAGTGGTCCCTCCTGGGCGCTACATGCCTGCCCAGCCCCTGCCTAGTCAAGTTGTGGTGGTACGCAGGAAGCACAAGAGCAAGAGTCCATCCAAAAGAGCCAAAAGCAGCCGCCGATGGGCGGAGGCGTAGCGGCCTATTGCAACCATCGCCCTTCGATCCGAAAGGATGCGGCCTGACCACGACAGTCCAGCCGTTGACGTCATGGACCTTCAGAGAACAGCTGCCCAGGAAGCCTGCGCTGAGATGGGTCTTGAGCCAACAAGGACGGCATGCCTAGGCAGAGGTGAGTGGAGGGCGGGACGTGGGCTTGAGCCAGATGCTGATCATGCCCTGCGTGAATTTGTCTACGACTACGACGGTTCGTCTTCGTAGCCTGCCGTGGTGAAGAGGCGTAAGGGCGACGTTGAAGGACGAGTGCGCGCGGGCCATTTGCTGTCCGTGCATCGCATGTGGCTCCGAAGATGCCTACGAGATGCTGCTTGCTGCATAGTGTTCATGTCATATTTAGAAGCCATCCTTCCCACCGTCCACTGGGGTGTACGCAGATCCCAGGCTCTGTGATTTTAAAGGTGCGGACTTGGAGATGAAGCAAGAAAACACGAGTTTTCCAGGCAAAGTAGCATGTTGCGATTACAGGCTGGATTCCAAATTTCCCACTTGCCTTTCAGGAGTTGGGTTGAGCAACTCAATTTGGAATTTGTTTGGGTGGCTCAGGGTGTGGTGCAACCAAAAGAGCGCTTGCTCGAGCAGTTCGACCCGATGCAACGTTTCGGCTGATGCGAGGTAGCTGGTGGAGTCGAACAGCAACCTGCATGACTGTAAATGAAAGCTGAACATACGTTTGGTGGCATAGATGCGAAGCTAAAAGATCCATGTGTGTTGAAGAGAGATTGACCCAAGGGTTTTATAGAAAGCGCTGAGCACGGCAACGACGGTGCCGTAGGTCCGGCTGGCTGGGTTTGAGTCAACGATTCAACCTAAACCCTAAACCCTAAACCCTAAACCCTAAACCCTAAACCCTAAACCCTAAACCCTAAACCCTATTGAGATTTGTACACAGGCCATGCTCGAAGGAGATCAAGGAGAGCAGGTGGTGCTAGATGCTACTTTGATAGATGCCACTTGGTGCAGATCAGATCTCGCAGAGGTCGATCAAACTTACAAAAAAAGTGCTGTCTCCCAGGCCTTCGCGGAAGAGGCACGGAGAAAACTGGCTGCAGCCTAAGCCCGGAGGATTCTGGAAGGCTCAGATTCGTAACCTGTTCCGACTGCAGAAGCTGCCAGGAAAGGGAGATCAACGACAGAGCGAAAGATGCATGCCAAGAGGTGCTGCGTTGATCTTCCTTGTGCTTCCCCCCTATGCCTTGCCCGTGCGAGCAGTCGACGAGGTGAACAGCCTCGTGTCTGCTGCACTTCGCCATCTTCCACCGGAAGTCAGGGTGCGCCCGAGTCAAGCTTATGATAAAGCTCCACTCTTTGCCGTAAAGCAAATCTGTGTGATCTTCTGTTAGTCACGGACCGACGCCATTACATGCGCTTTTGGCGTTGTAAGTTCGGTGCGTCTTGTTGCATACAGCGGCAGTCACAGAGACTGCCAATTTCAGAAAGAAAGCACAACGGCCCTGAACGCCAATATTGGACATTTGTAGTGGTGAAGCCGTTGACAAACATGTCAGTGCCATGAGTACGAAAAGCTTAGCGCACTTTGTGTCTTGCGTGCCGGAGCCGTCGGATGCGAAAGCTAAAGTCTTGCGAGGGAGGGAACGGGCGTTACCCGAACTGCAACAGAGAGATGGAAAAACACTCGGGCCCGGATTAGAAAACTGGTACGACAGTAGAAAACAAGGATTAGAAAACTGGTACGACAGTAGAAAACAAGCCCCATCCATTTCCACCCCCCCCCCCCCCCCCCCCCCCCCCCGCCCCCCCCCCCCCCCCCCCCCCCCCCCCCCCCCCCCCCCCCCCCGCCCCCCCCCCACCCCCCCCCCCCCGCCATCATTCCGGAGCCGCACAGGCGAAAACCTGACTGATATTCTTCAAGCAGTCGACAAGGGGGGCCTAAGGGGGTGGGAGGTATCTTGTGAACCAATCCGTGCTTGTGGCTTCCGAGTCCGGGAAGGCAATCCCCAAGTCCTGAAACCAGGAAGGAAGCTAGAGAGAGAACACCCACCCGCGGCGACGCGACCCTGCGTGGATACCCAACTCCGCAGAGAGAAGATGCAGAGCCTTGCCGTAGAGTCGTAGAGGGCAGAAATGAATCAAATTGAGTGTTAATTGAAGACCTCAGAGGAAAAGGCACCAGCTTTGCTGGGACGAATGCAGGCTCTGCCCGCCCGAGAAGCACTTTGGGTCTTCACCAATCAGGCTTCTCCGAGGGGATCTTCCACTTTGGGGCCTTCTGCTGGGACTCTGAGTCGAGTGTGACCGGAAGGAGACTGGAACTGCAAAATCCTGCGCTGCGCTGCGGCCTCGAAGGGTGCTGGGCATTTTCATCTTCATCTATGTTTCGGAGATGTTTCGGTCGATGAGTTTTTTTCGCCTGTGCAGGTTGCTGCGCGGCCAGGGCGAGATCTCAGAGCAGGAGAGCGAAGTTCGCCTCGAGACGTCACTTGCCAGAGCTGCCTGCTCAGGACTGCAGGGAAGACTCGTACAGTGAAAGGCGCTGATGTCAAGACTGGTGGTACCTTTGTGAGCTTGATGTAGCAACAGTATCAGGCTAAATCCTTGCTCCAGGCTGCTGTGCTATGAGATGGCAGGTGAGGTCCGACGAAGCGGTTAGACACCATCAATGTGCCTAAATTGGGCCATGAAGTCGTGAAATGTATGGTAGAATTTTAATTCGAAGCAATTAGTATCGAAGGAGCTGCTCGACTTTGCAAGCCGCGTCTGCGTTCAGCGAAATCTGGACGTTAAAAATCCCTTCAAGGGTGGACCTTCAAAACAAGTATGGAGGGGCTTTGCTGTGCAGTTGCTTCACGCTTCTCCTATGTGCTAGCAGATGCCTTTCAGAAGGGCTGTTACCTGCCCCAGACCCAAAGAAAAAGTCAAAGAACAAGTGGCACAAGTGGCACAAGTGGGCTGAAAGTATCCAACCTTAGACAAATGCTGTGTGAAGCAGTCTCGACAACGTGACAGCCAGTGACTAAATCTTGCAATGGCCTGGAGATGGCAGACGATTGCTCTGCAATGCGCCCAGGAATTGATGCTTGCAAAGCTGCCCTCAGTGTTAGTGTTGAGGCCTCGGTGCCGACCCTTCCATTGGGACCTGCTGCATCCCTCACGGCCCCATCTTCTGTAGGCCAGCCTTTAGCACGCCCTGAGACTGAGTTGCCTTGACACATGTCAGCACATGCCACACATGTCAGATCCAGACTCGTCTGTGCGGTCATGGCAGAGTGGGATTTTCTGTGAGGCGCGAGGCCCTGCCAATTCGGGCCATAGATGTTCTTGAGACTTAACAATCCCGAATACCTCCCACCTACCGCATCGCAGCAACGCTCGACGACTGTGCCACCAACTGTCGCTGCTGCAGCAGCTGCTCTTGTGAGTGCTGCTCGCCCCATGCTTACAGACGAGTCGAGCCATTCAGTGCAAGTTGTACGGCAGCACAGGCGACTGCTCTTCCCCTTTCCGTCGGATTGCCTTAACGGCTTGAACATCCTCTTTAACCCAGGTGTGGCGAATGGTTCTGCTTCCACAGCTTGGGGACCCAGTTGACCTTCCGGTGCAGCCCAGGCTCGTTGATTGAGTCACATCCGCTGCGCAACCATGCCAATGAGGTTCGAAGACAGTCTGAGCTTGAAGCTCTCCGACAGAAGCAGGACTCAACATAGCGCCTCCTCCCGGTGTCTACTCTCAGTGTTTACTGGCAGTGTCTCTCAGAGTCTACTCAGTGTGGGGTGGCTGAAAACCGGACCTCAAGCTTTGGGTGTCTGCGGTGCCCGCTTTGCAAACCGTGCACATGTATCCCGAACACCATGTTGAAGTAGACAGGAAGTCGTTATCGCCTGTCCTCCAACCCCGCCTTTTCATGCGCGCACGCTTGCCCCCTGTATCTTCCGAAGCTGTTGAAACCCCGGATCTGCTGCAAACAGGGGTGCTGGCTCATGCGCACCCCAAATTCAGCTCAACAGCCTCTGACCCCAACCACAAAGCTTCTGCAAGGCGTGCCTATGCCATGATTCCAACCCTTCAAAACCCAAGCGAATCCTTTCAAAACAAGCATGTAAAGCCGCGCATGTTTGTAGACTGGGTTGTCCCTACCTCCCCGCCTCCCCAACATGGGAGCAGCATGGGAGCCCATCAGAAGACCGAGACCCGGTCACAAAAAAACGATCACAGGGGTCCCCAGGACACGTTCGGGTTTACCGCACAGAAACAAGGGCCCCACGGCGATGAACAGCACCGTAGGGACCCGCGCAATCCGCAACAATCCCCTGCATCGAAAGCTACAACCCAGACAGCGGAGGACTGCGAATGATTGCCAAGAGCAAACAATACAGAAAGCGTGGGATCGTCGGAGAGGGCTTCAGAGGGCTTCGGAGGTACTATGGGGTTCAGGGTTTCGGGTTTTCCGAGGGATTCCGGGCTGTTTCAGGGCGGTAGGCATCCCTACCCTACCGCCGAGAAGCCTTGCGGCACGGCTTTCCGCAAGCCGTTCTTCTGCCAAAACGGGTTAGCTTCGCTCTTCTTGCGACTGCAGCCTATTCTTGCGCGAGCATGCCATCCGTACAAGCAGCCACAAACAATTGACATGCAGAAGTGACCCAGGAGCTGGCGATGTCACTGCTGGAGCAGCGCGGCCAGGCGAAGTTTCGATGTGAACCATATTGAGAGGAGCGAAGACACGGGCATCATCCAAGCACACCCTGGCCATCCCTGGCCCCAGGTCACTCCTCAGCCCTCCGCTGCTTCTTTAGTTGTGCCGACTGCGTCGCTTGGTTTGTGTCTCAACTCCGTGGCTCAGTAGTTCCTCTGAACATCGAGCTGCAAAGCGCTGCAACGTCGAGGCCCCCCGGACCCGTCGTCGGTTGAGGAGGCCGTTGCCAGCGCGGCCAAGGCCACACAAGTTGGGCTTGGCTTCGGAGTGCAAGTTGCAACATGCAGCAACGTCAACAAAACATTGGGTCACAATGAGCCTGTCTTGCTTGAAGACAGGTTGGGCCCCCACCTCGCAAGATCTTGGAAACATCCATTTGCACCTTGCAGCTTTGTTTGTGTTGGGTGTATCAGGAGCTCAAGGAAGAAGGGATAAGAAGGGTGGGGCCGGGCGGGGGACAATTGTGGATGGCTTATCAGGAGCAAGAGTGGCGAAGAAAGAACATGCTTCAGTAGTTTGCGTAAGTGTACTTCTGCTCATCACTCGAGCGTGAGAGGGAGGGAGGGGGGCAAGGGTGAAGACGAAGCAGCGGGGGCATGTTCTTGGTGGGGTGTCGTGCACGGGCCTCAACTTATCTAAAACCTTGCCCAAAGGAATCGAGATTCAATCGAGCGATGTGCAGAATCCTTCGTCATGTTAAGGGCGGGTGAGGCCGCGATCAGCAGTTGAGGAGCGCCAGCACAGGAAATATGCCAAACGGGGTTGCCCTCTGCGCGATGTCGTGCACCGGCGTGCTTTGAGAATGCATGTCTGTGAGGCCATGAGGGGACTTCCTGATGCACCCACTACGTCCGCCGTATCACATGCTCTTCGTTTCGATTCCTTTCCATATGCGCGTATGCGCGGGGGGAAGGGGGGAAGGGCCTTGACCTCTTGCCCGCTGAGAACAAGGAGAAGAAGAATCAGAAAAAGGTGGTGTAAGTGTTGTGCGAGACAAGCAGAATAAGGCACGGCTATAATGCAGCCATAGTATAGAAATCTGATAGTTGCATGCTTTTTCATTCGCAAGCAGGATCGACATAATCATGCAACAGCAATTTAGCAGCAATAGTGGGGGAAGTGGGATTTCCTCACCTGTAGGGCCAAGTGCACCAGAACACCACCACCTGCACGACGGACACCCGAACCAGGTGCGCACCCTTGCCTCGAAAGAAAGGAATAGTTCAGTACAAAGTCCAGATGGTTTGATGGCTTTCCGTTCGAAGACAGGTCGAACATGTCACATTTCTGTATCGTCGCAGCTGATTGTGGAAACGCTGGTCGAACCCGTGTCCCAACAAGACAACTTCTGTTCCTCGAGCGCAATGTCTGAACCGAAGCCAAACTTGTTCTTGACGAATGCACCCGCATGAGCATGCAGCATTTCAGCAAGTACGGCTGTGCCTTAGCTGTTGCCGGTGCTTGCGCACTGTCGCTGCTCGATATTGGCCGGGCACCCTCATGCTGACCGGCTACTTGGTTTCCCTGAGGTTTGCTAAGGTGGCCATAAGACATTCTGAACCCGTTGCAAGTACTGCAATGCAAAAGCGTTGGGCTGAGGCTGATTGTGTGATTGTGAGCCCTGAAAAGTCTCGGTTCAATGAGTTGGTAGTGTTTAATTATGCTTTGTCGGGACGCAGCTTGTGAGTGCCCATGACAAACAAATATACCGACGAAGCACTGCAAGTCGAAATTCGAAAGGTCGGTTCCGCGCATGAGATGCTGAATTATCTCGGGCTATCACCGACAACACACAGACCAGACATCATTTGAAAGCCTTTGCAGGCGGCTCGTGGCTACACTGGCAAGGTCTCCTGCTCTTACGATGAGGTTCTCCTTATGCGCACGACTTGCACAAAGCGGGGTTTAGGTTTTGCCCCAAGTTTCTCCACCTGCAGGTTGAGCGCTGCATCAGCGAACTGCAAGGTTTGGTGAAGGTGATGCGGATGAGTTCACTTGAGTTCAGCTGCAAGGGTAACAGAGTCTGCTACGACGGAGCGGTTGCCCGGATAGCCTCGGCTGAGACTCTTGACCTCCTTGAGCTTGTGTGGCAGGCGTGTCGTGGGCCGCTCAGCCCGCAAGAGTTGCCGCAAGAGGTGCGGCTCAGTCGAGATGAGCCGTGTGAGAAGGGCTCAGCGGCTCACCGTGTCTCTCCGTGTTTGGTTTTGAGGTAGGCCCAGCTCCTGACAACCGGCCTCGTGCTTATCCGACCCATTTGTCGATTGTCTTGGCATATTTTGACATGCTTGAGGGAGAATTGATCTGTGAGCTTTCAGTCTCACTGAATCTCTGCTGCCTTCTTACGCATCTTCGATCAAGCAAGACACGCTTAGCAGAACAAGCATCGTACGAAGACCATGCACGTGGAAGATGCGTTCATATGCACCGGCATTTGACCAGAAGATGAGCTTAGTGAACTGGCCCTGAAGTCAACTTCTGGAAATTGCTATTTAGGTCGTGGTGGGAGCAAGGTGTGAACTATCTAGGAACAGCTCATGGCTAAAAAGGTGTTCCAGAATGTACACCAGCTTAACCATTATCAGGCGCTAGATTGTATTTTGGGGTAAATAATGGTCGTAACACACGGCTCTAACTCAAATGATATGTTCTGGAATGGACTGAATAGAACTTATAGAAAATATTTTTGATTCCAATAGTTCGCTAACCTGCATTGCCTTCTACTTCACGAACTCGGTTCAGTTGGGGGTCAGTTATATGACCGGCCGTCCACAGAAACTAATACAAGTTAGTTACCAAACCCAATGGCCCCATTTAACACCTAATTGGGTTAAGGGAGGAAGCCAGCGGATGACTTTTGAGGGGCGTCTCGCACGCCGAAGTTCAGCTTCCCTTGCATGTACCCCGGCAGCTATGTAAGTGGTTAATTCAGAGAGTGGAACGCATTGCAGGCCCGCGTTTTGCACACAAAATACAAGTTTTTTTTTTGCTGTTTTCTATGGGTTTGCTCTAATGTCGCCTCCCAACAAAATGTCAAATCGCCCTTGTGTTTTTTCATAGTCATGCGGGCAGTTGTGTTTTGCTTCCCTTCGCCCATTGGCGCACCATCGGAATAACATTGGAATAACCTACTCACAACACGTTTCTGAAGAAAAAGCCATCAAGAAAGCCCAAAGTTGGAGCTTTTCGGGAGGTTCCTGTAGTTTTTGTATTTGAGAGTTGCTTTAGTCAAGCATTGGCGACATTGAGATTTTGTTAAAGGAGTGAATGAGATTGTCCAACTTTGGAACGCCGGGGAAAAATAATATGGAATAGCAGAGAGTGCTTCTATACCATAAACGTAATTTCGCAGATAACTCATTGGTTAAAAAGCCATGTGTTCGCAATGAGTAGACCTATTGCAATGAAAGACTGGCCCCCTAGTTAGACGAATAAAGTTGAACTCAGCTTTGACTTTGAAGAGCCTTCCTAGTTTCGGAAATGCATGTTTAGCAGTTGGCCTTGCTTTCACTTTTCGTTACCATATGATTAGGTTAACACACAGAACTTCTGTAGTAGCACTTTCGACTGTGAACACTTAATGGGTTAAAGGGAGATCCCAGCCCCAACATTTCTTAATTCTCCGTGTCGTTGAGATCCCAGACGCTAGACATGCCGCAGGATATAAGGTTGGCTTGTAAATTCCAAAACGGACAAGAACTAATTCCCTGGGCCCAAAAGTCCCAGGTGTTTTAACTGTGCTTCGAAGACTGAGGATTGAAGATCCCGCAGCAAAGTTTTTCTGGAGTCTTCGATCTGTCAAACTGAAGATTCCAACTTTCCTGTGAGATCTTGAATCTTGAATCTCCCGATTCAAGGAATCTAGTTAGATTTTTGTGTTTGATCTTTCATGATTTCAGGGGGATCTTCCAGAGAATAATAGAAACATTGATTTCTTGTCCGATGTTTCGTCGGAGCATTTCCAGAAAAACCAAAACTGGTGGATCAATGAAGGGGGGTACCATGTATATCTATGCTATATATATATATATACATGTAGATCTGCATCGAGTGCAGATGGCACACGATGACGCTTTAGTCTTTAAGAGTTTCCCTTTCGCAGTAGCTTCACATGAGTGCTGCCGGACGAACATGGATGTCTGTGGCTAAAGGCGGGGCACTCCGACTGGCAGCAGTGGATCTGCAGCGGCTCAAAAACAAGGCTAGCTTCATGTTCTTGTTTTTGTGCAGGTGCTGACGCAAGCAGCTTGCAAATCCCTGCCGCTGGCCAAGAGTAGACGCGCGCTTGAAACAGGCAGCCAGGCAGTTCAAAACACTGCAAATTGGTACTTACCAAGGATGCCTCCCCGAATCAGCAGCACCGACTCGGGTGCCGCAGCCTTGGGCCTTAGGCGAAATTTAAAAAGAATCCTGCATCGGTGAAGGAGGAGAACGTCCTTAAGCAGAGAAACAGAACGAATCTTGGTACCTCCACGAAGTACAGATTGGAGATATTCTCAAGCCCAAAACCTTAAAAACCCCAACAGCATCACACCCAAGAGTGTGATCTGGGCTGAGCTCACTCAGTTGAGGCCGCGAGGCAAGGGGAGCACAGGCAGTGGACTCCGAGGGCTCGCCGGAGCAGCTGCCCAAGATCATGCGGTGACAAGCATTATATGATTTTTTCTTATATTACATTATACTATAATATTATATGCTATATTAAATATTATACTATATTCTATTATACTATATTATAATATACTATGTTCCATTATATTATATTATTCTATACTATATTATTTTATATTATACGATGTTGTATCTTGTGTTGATGTTGATAGATATACGTATACATATTTTCTGTTGTAGTGTTCTGCTGTTTCATATATCGTTATAGTACTGTATTGTCTCAAGAATATACGACTACTACATTGTTTTATTGGTCGTATATTCATATCTATCTATATATATATATATTGATATACTGTTCGGTTTTCGTTTTTCTATACTAGTATATAGTACAGTATTAACATATTCTTATCATGTGACTACATGATTACATCATGATATTATGAAATTTTGATAATCTTATATTCTTATATCGGTATATTCGTATATTGATACAGCATTGCATTAGTAGATTCTTGTATTGTTTCATTTTTGTTGCATTATTGCATCGTGGTTTGATTATATCATTATATTTTTACATCTGCTTTGTTATTTGATTTTTATATTAAACATACTATTGCATTATGTTGTATATTACTACATTACTATATATTATTTTAGCATAATTTCATACTATATATAATATATATATAGTAGATATAAAGAAGTAACTACGAAGATGCCAAAAAGCAGATGGCGGTGATGGTTCTGTGAGAAGGTGATAGCCTCCCGCCGGACCAATTGACCGGACTCAGGCGCAACTGTGTTACATGAGTGAAGCACAGCTTTCAATTACAGGATTGACAAGTAAATGTAGGACAGCCGAGGTCGTGGTGTATTTGCTTGTCGCAGAGAGGGACCGTTTGTAATGGCTCCAGCAGACTCCAGTGCAAGTTGCCCGACGATTCAGTTCCTCGCAGCTCGCAGAAAGCGACTGCTTCCCTGGTCTTCGGGCCTCTCTGCATCGCGCTCCGCATGGATTCGGAGTGTACAGATGTTGTGCCAGCTGTTCTTGATGGAAGTACAGAGTCCATCGACAACACTGGCAACCAGAAGTCAGATGCGATGCAGGCACAGGAGCTCCCAGGCGGTCGAAGGCTTTGTGGCGTTTTGTTCACGGCCATCCTTCTCTTAGCCCTCGTACCGAGGGCTAACCTGGATCCTAGGTTCCCGGATGCCGCCAAGGGCCTTGCCGTCCTCATGGTCACAGCTCTGTTCTGGATTTCAGAGGTGATGCCGCTATCAATCAGCAGCTTGCTGCCGATGGGCCTCTACCCGCTTTTTGGGGTAGTCAAGGCAAGTGCTCTGGCACGCAAGTTCTTTTCGAGCACATCTTTCCTATTCATTGCAGGCTTCTTGCTTGGCCTTGCTATCGAGCGTTGGAACTTGCACACGCGTTTCGTGCGAGCTGTGCTCTCGAAGATTGGAGATCGCATACAGTTTTACCTTGCTGCATTTATGTTGACTACCTGGCTGCTAAGCATGTGGATCTCCAACACAGCAACAATGCTGTGCATTATGCCGATGATGAAGGCTTTCCTTTCATCTTTAGAAGGAGGACATCCTTCGTTCCACAGCATCATGCTTCTGGCTGTAGGCTACTCTGCAACTGTCGGCGGGCTGGCAACTCCAGTGGGCACGCCCACCAACGGAATCTTCCTGGCCATTTTCCAAGAGTTTTGGCCAGACGAAGAGGAGTTTTCATTCGCAAGATTCTGTATGGTGGCGCTTCCTTTGTCGGCGGCACTCTTGCTCTGCGTCTACAGCGCAACCTGCGTAGCCTATTGGTGGAGTGGTGCGCGCATTGTCGTGAACCGGGAAGCTTTTCTTCGCACCCAGCAGCTGGGCAAAGTGACTTTCGAGGAGATGGTGGTTGGCTTTCACATGGTTTGCTTGGTGGTCCTGTGGTTTACTGCGTCTAGGATTGACAGGTTTCCTGGGTGGAAAACGTGGGTGTCAAAGGATCTAGACAGCGGGTCCATAGGTCTTGTGCTCACGCTTCCTTTTTTTCTGATACCGTGCGGTCGATGGCTGCCTTCTGCCCTGAAGCGGGTTCTTGGTGAAGATCGCTGCCAATCGAGTTGCTCTGGTCCCAGGCCTAACTACATCTTGGATTGGGAGAGTGTGAAAAGAGATTTCAGCTGGGAGATTCTATTCGTGTTTGGCGGTGGGGCTTTAATCGCTCACGGCACAGTCGAAAGTGGCTTAGCCCAGATCATCGCGGAGACCCTTGAGAACCTGGGCCTCAGTTTCTTTGCTTTCAACCTTGTGGTGGTGACGGTGATCTGCTTTGTGACAGAAGTGGTCTCAAATATGTCTACGTTAAGTATCTTTGGCCCAATCATGGCCAGTGCTGCTCAGCACATGGGCAACAGCCCTGTCCACCTTCTTCTGGGCGTGACCTTCGCTGCTTCGTTTGCCTTCATGTTGCCCATGGCAGGAGGTCCGAATATGGTTGTGTATTCCACTGGGCGAGTTTCAGTGTGGCAAATGGCAAGCTTCGGTTTCTGCCTTAACCTTGTTGCCATCCTGTTGGGAAGCTTGTATGTCACGTTTGCAATGCCCGCGCTGCTCGGTACCGAGTA